GGAGCAGATGGCACTCATGAGCAATTGGGAAAAATTGTTGATAGCCGATTGGGACCATTGGTTTCTTTACATTGTAGGTAGGTGTCAATTTAAAACCCTTCAATATAAGATTGCAGTCCAATTTTTATTAGATTTCCCTTCTAATCAGAGATGCGCTGTCAGAATGAAAAAGTCAGGAATACACCTTTGTAGCAACTGCAAGAGAAACAAAATTAAGTCTTTGCAACTTGGCTTTCAGGTAGTCATCCACAATGCAATGCAGGCTGTATGGCACAAGCTAGGTTAATTCATACTGGATATCTATTGTATGGCTGTTCCTTTCATGCAGCTCCCACTGTTCTGTTGCCAAGATGTGAAGCTCAGCTAAATACATGTTAATGCTGTTACTCTGGTGAAATATGTAAGACTGGTCTCTTTTATTGCTCTCCTTACTTCCTTCAATTCTTTTTTTCCTCATCTTAGGCAGCTGTTGTAGGGTGGGATTCTTTTCTTAGGGTGGGGATCCATGGTATCAGCAAGTATCAGTCGCTGAACAGGGGAGGGGGCACCATTGCTGAGCCCCACCTTGTCTCACCCGCCTACAAGGTCCTATAGTTTATTACTCATTAATAGTTACCATGAATGGGAGCCCTCCATAGCCTGGGGTGCTGAGGCCATTTGTAGCCTCTCTACAGTTGTCTTGTCTTGGTTCAACAAATTCAATTCAGACTGGGCATTAAACATGGAATACCTAGTCTTTTTTTGCCCCTGTGGCAGTTTTATCATCCATGGCCTTATACAAATGTAATCAAACAATACACTATAGAAGCACATTGTGTGGTATTCCACATCACAGTGCACACTTAAAAAGCAGATCCCTGGCCCCCTGTCTCAAATTTCAAAATGCTGATCTGTTAATTATTTGGAGTAGTGGGTCCCTTTTACACTTCATAATTCATTATTACAATCAGGTCACTGCTTTGTGAGCTGTAATAAAACAGAAACACATATTGTCATTTTTAAAAATAAAACAGCTTCTTTGTACTATAATGCATTTTATACATTTGCACTTGAAATTTATACCTGCTGTCAGAAAAATATTTTTAAGTGTTACCCATAAAAAACTTAGGTGAAACAGTCACTTTTACTCATTTATATCTAGTGAAGACAAATTGATGCCTCTCTCCATCTGTCATTGTTGCATATAACATTATTTTCTGTAAGAGATAGTAGGAACTGCAGATGCTGGAGAATCTGAGATAACAAGGTGTAGAGCTCGATGAACACAGCAGGCCAAGCAGCCTCAAAGGAGCAGGAAAGCTGACGTTTCGGGCCCAGACCCTTCTTCAGAAATGGGGGAGGGGAAGGGGGATCTGAAATAAATAGGGAGAGAGGGGGAGGCGGATAGAAGATGGATAGAGGAGAAGATAGGTGGAGAGGAGACAGACCGGTCAAAGAGGCGGGGATGCAGAATGGGAGGGGAGGTTCGCACTAAACAACTGCACCTCCCAGTCGCGAACCATTTCAACTCCCCCTCCCATTCCGCAGACGCCATGTCCATCCTGGGCGTCCTGCAGTGCCACAATGATGCTACCCGAAGGTTGCAGGAACAGCCCGAAG